TGATGATGATGATGATGATGATGATGATGATGATGATGATGATGATGATGATGCTGATGATGATGATGCTGCTGATGATGATGATATTAAGGTCATGTATTGCTGACAATAGAGAAAAAGACAGTCCAGTCGCAGATTAAGTGGGGAGAAGTAGGCGGCGATGGATTAGACATACCATCAAGAAGCCAGGCAGTTGCATAACACAGAATATGTTTGATTAGAATCCGTGGAGGATTTTTTTGGTTGTTGTTTTAGTGAGGGCTTTACGGCACTTGCAACACACTTAAGTCATATACGTGCGGACGATTATAGGTGTTACAAGAGAGTAACAAATACAAAAAAGAAGAAAAAGAGATCAGGACGATTGTTATTTGAGAAGAGGGAAGAAGCAAACCACACCAGAGCACCCTCCAACCCCCCACAATCCACACAGTAAGAGATCAAGGGAACCTAGAGACGAGTCGCAGGTAATGATGTTCAGAAAATTGGAGAGACATGGAATACTGTCTAGAAGCTAGTCGTTTAAAGGCTTCGCTGTGTCACGCAGGAGACCCGGGTTCGATTCCTGAGTGGGGAGAATCTTTCGAGTGTCTCGGTTTTTCTGCAGGGATGTAGTATCCTTTTCAGCCCAGGTTGGCCTTAACTGGCAGGGTCGAAGCCCGCCTCCTAAAACATTTAAATTGTGGTGATGAGGGCGTTAAATACCTACATGACAACAACAATCAAAACAAAAGGATTCTCGGCTGTACACCGTCTTCAACTATCAATATGTAACGTCAACGTCTGTCATCTCCCATACAGCGTCGAATGTCAGCCTATCTGGGTTATCGACTGCTCGAGGTTTAGAGTATCATCAGGTAAGTAGAACACGATAACAGCCTTAGTCAGCAAACAATGCTATGTCAGAATACACTAGGTGGTGACACTTGCAATCGCCACCCAAAGTTCCAAGACTTCCGTGTTCCTTGATGGTATCTATGACAAGAAATAATCTCTGTTGTAGTGACATCAGCATTAAACAGAAATATTTTATTACCGGGAGCAGTTAACTGGAGATAGATAAGTGCGCTAAGAACTAAAAGATACTTTTATTACAATTTTAGATGACACGTAAAGAGCAGACTAAGTTGTCTCGAACTATTGCAGCGTCCTTGGTATAGCCTAATTTTGTTTTCAATTATTGTCGAAAAAAATCTTAATTTGAGATAGATATAAACTGGTGCTCAATTACGCTTTACTTTAGATCTATAGAAAAATGGCTGTAGTGTTTCAACATTAATTTAATTTACTGATAATTTGTTTCTTCTACCTTTTTCGAGATACACAACGCTCCAAATGTTGGCGTTCATATCCTGTTACTGATATCTTCACTATGATATTCTGAGACAACACATGGAGCCTAGGCAGTGTACACAGTTTCTGCGTTGTAACGGTTCTGGTATGCTCAATGTGTCCGCCTCCCCCCAGGCCATCTCGCCAGAAGGAAAAGTACAGTGAAATAATTATAATAGCATATTTTGCGCTAATTCCCGCTCAACAGCAAGCTGTTTGCGCCTCACAATCTACACTACGAGTATTACCCCAGCAGACCTGAGAGCATTCTGAAACAACCTCAACTTCCTGGGAAGCATACAGTGTAAGCAGCCATTTATTAGGCGCTAAAACACTAACATACTGACAAGATCTTTCGTAGTCTAGAGCCGGGTACCCATTCCCACCTGGGTGAGGGAGGAAAATTCGTGTAAAGTGCCTTTCCCAAGGACACAACGTCGGGCCAGCGGCTCGAACCCCCGACCTCGCAAACTCACGATTACGAGTCCGGTTGCCTAATCAATAGGCCACCGACCACACTAATATTATTTATTAGTTGCGTGTAGCCTCCACCTGGCTGTTGCGACACGTCTCGTCTGAGGGTCTTGATCAGATACTAGAAAAGTTCAACTAATGATTAATTATAACAATATTTTCGCGAGCATGCACAGTGACCCTGGAACCCTTCTCAAGGCCTTGGTCTTCTACTATTGTATGTGTACTGTTGTATAATGGTGGTGGCGATGATGATGATGATGGACGACAATGATGACGACGACGACGACTACGACGACGATGATGATGATGATGATGATGATGATGATGAACCTTTATAAAATTTTCTTTGAAATTCTACAAGTCTCAACCCTTTTATATTCCTTGCTGTTTACAATGATGATGGTGACGATGGTAATGGTGGTGCTGCTGCTTCTGCTGCTGCTCCTTCTACTACTACTACTACTACTACTACTACTACTACTACTACTACTACTACTACTGATGAAAGCACTGTAAACACGTGCAGTTCAAATACCCCATGAGGGATCGCCTGGCCTAAGCAATAAATTCTAAAGATATTCATCTTATTCGAAGAAAAAGATGTTGAAAACAGAATCAATTCTTACTCTGACCAACACGATGTTACCCTTCAACGTCCGCTTGGTCATAAACTTGGCTGACATTCAAAATTAGATTTTTAAAGATCGAGAGTGAAGAATGAATTTTTTGTCTTACCAGGAGTATTTTTTTTCTCTTAGCCATGAGTCCTCTGATTCTGTAAACCGATGTGAAAAAAGCAAACTTCGGGATATTACTTACAGCAATATACTATAAACACAATGGGCTGCTAAAGCCATGGCAGTTTATCCCATTACAGTTCATTAGGTGCTAAAGAATATTCAGTGAAATAAGAGAAAATGTTAGGCCAGTTCCAAATAATGGGCGTCAAGTTCATAAGTTACCGTTCAGCTTCTCAAGCACTATTAAGTGGATGTTCACGTAATATGATGTTTTCTATAAAGCACTTGTCTGTGAAATTGAATACTCAGTTGTTGACCCATTTTGCAACTTACTGCACCCTATCCAGTGGGAATGGAAGTTGTGTCGCTCGCCAAACCTCTCTATACGACATGTGTATCGTGGCTGTATAAAACGGAAATGAACCAATCCATCGTGGCACTAGAATGCAAGCTCAGATGTCCGATTACTCACAAAGAGAATCTTACCCACTTTTTGTAGAAAATAAAAGCACCTTTGGGGACCAAATGGTTGTTATAGTAGTGCTGA